AAGTACCTTTCATATTAGAGTTTAGTAAATGATTCCCAACTTCTTTAGCTATAAATATTTTTTTTAAGAAGTAAAAGGTATTTGAAGATTTAGTGATCTAAACATCTCAATTTACAAGCAAAGAAAGTGAGGCCCAGAGGAATTAAGTGACTTTAAAAAGCTTCCCAGCTAGCTCATCGTGGAACTAGTAATAAACCCAAGCTGCCAGAGAACTAGGTATGTGCCCCATCACTCTTCCATGCTTTCTCAACTGGATTAACATATGATTGATGATCTCTGCCACTGGGAGAAATTTTCTTCAGGAGATATTACATGATTATTTTCATGTATAACCAGAATGACAGGGCTGGGCAGAGAGGTGGATGTCGCCAGAAGTCTTTTAACTGCCTATGCGTTTTAAGCTCTAGGGAATGTGGATTGAGTCCCTTACTGACATTTGTGTGACTCCCACTTGCCAGTTTGGATCCATAACGTTTCAGCTGAGCTCTGAAAGTTACACAAATATCACTTTGGTGGTTTCCCTGTCTTCTTAAGCTCTGTTGCAGACTTAAATGAGTCCTCATGCTTCGTGCTCATCCCTTGCTGGGAGCTTCTGTGGGGAACAGTTGCTTACATTTGCTGCTGCCAACTGATGCCTTAAATGCACTGAGATCTCTGTGGCATGGCCCAAGTCTCTCTCTTCAGCTCTGATACCTTCAAAGTTTTATCATTAACATGGATAAAGATATAGGTGGTTTGCTCAACCTTTTTATGGATGACACAAAGCCAGGGAGCACAATCAATAGGATAATGGAGTCAATTTTTTTTTTTTAAAGCCTAGAAGGGTAATCTATATAGAATACACTAAAATTTAAAAAAAAAAAAAGGAAATTTTAAATTCCTGGCCTCAGGTAAAATTTAAAAAGTGTACAAGAATAGGATGGGAACTTCTATTTGACTAAACATTGGCATGCATAAATTTTTACCTTGGCATAGATAAGAATGCCCCAGAGTTTAGGTTGACTGTGAATTTGATATGAGTCAACAGCAACGTGGCTGCCAAAAAGATCATTTCATCCTGGGCTGCCTTATGACATGTGGCTTTCAGAACAAAATAAATGGCAATTTGTTTTCACTTATTTTAGTCAGACCACATATGGATTGTTACTTTCCTTTCTATGCAGCAGAGACATAGTTAAACTGCAGAGCATCCAAAATGTTTGATAAGAGCAAGGGATGATTTGAAATACATGACAGTATGAGAGATGGTTAAAGATAGTGGGATTTTTTTTTTTTTTATCCTGGGGGAATACTGATATGTCAAGAGCTATGAAAGAGCTGAGGTCTTACCATACTTGCAAGCTGACAATTTAGCCTGATACAGTTTCATAGATGCTGGCAGAAGACTTAAAACTCAGAGACAGAGGGCTGTTCATTACAGCCATCACAGCACCTAGAACACCAGCAGTTTCTTGTACCAGTTCCTTAAGCTCTGATTCCCACAGAGCAACACAAAAAGCACCAGATAATGTCTGCACAGAATGGGTTGCATTACAGGAGAGGAAGCTTGTCCATAGGAAATCTCCATCTTCTATTAGGTCTGCAAGCAAACCTATTCAACCGTTTTCCTATGGGATAACAGATACTATCTCTCAACATTACATCTTTGAAAAGAAAAAGCTGTGAGTGCCTCTTCCAGAAAGACAAGCAGAGAGAGGAGAGATCCATCCGTTGTTCTCAACAATAACTGCATTTTGTCACTTCAGAGGAAAACAATGTCCAATTGGTGAAAGTTACCAAAAGACACATTTATGGTAGATAGGGCAATATTTTTATTAAAAAAAAAAAAACAGAATAAGAAACAAGAAGCAGAACAGGTTCAAAGCCCAAGGGACTCCTTAAGAAGTTAGGTATGTTCAGGCAGAAACCAGGCTGCCATTTGTTCTGACTGTTAAGGACTATTAATATTTATATATCAGAGAAGTGCTGAATTAAATGTTACATCAAGCTTCTTCTAACATTCCACTTATCAGAAAGTAGAGGGAAAGAAAAGTGAAGTAAGTTGGAAAAAATGCATGACAAAAAAAGATAAAGAGTACTTTCAAACTTGAAATACTTCATTGTGTATCCTCTGAAGCTCTATATGTGCCCCTAGAGGATCCAGACATCTCTTTGATAAGCCAGAGATAGGGCCATATCCAAAGCCTTCATGAACATTATGCTGTAATCTCCCTCGTCTGCCTCTTCAGCTAAGAAAAACAGCTCAAGCGTCTATTTGGAAATAAAGAAACTTTGAAGCTTTACCCTGGATTGATTATCCTGTGTTTTGAGAAACAGAACCTTTGCTAAGGAATCCTTCATAATCTACCTAGAAATACATCTGGTTGTCCAGACATGTAAACTGAAGTTTAGGAATATCTCAAAAGAAAATACAGTATTCATAGTTTTTTTTTTTTTTTGGTTCTGTGTTGTTTTTTTTTTTAAGAAATAAAATGTTTGTTTCCCCCCCACCTCTAAAAGAAAGAGAGAGAGAAAGATTATTTTTAAATAACTGTCATGACAGTTAGCACATGGACATTTTTTGCTTCATGGATTTATTACCTGCCCATTCTGCTTGAACTCCTCTTCACACCACTCATGTAAGGTGATTCAGCTATAACCAGGAGGTGGAGATGATGGAGCATGCCCTTTGACCTCCTTGCCTCCCTATTTCTTTATATTTCTTAAAGTCAGGGAGTTGAAATAGACAGCAGCAATGTTTCTTTCCAGCTTTTCAGACTTCAAAGAATCCAGGGAGAGCCACTTTCTTAAAAGCTAGCATAAATTTAAAGCTCTTAGGGTTGGTAATATGGCTTAGAAAAAAAGTGAAGGTGGAAATCACCTTTGAAAGATGGTTTAAAGGGAATTTCTCCTATCCTAAAGCACAGTAACATCAATCAGGATATTGGGAAAGGCAATAGGATGGAGGGATAGAATCGTATCTTGTGTGCTTTGTGACAAGACATGAGTGTAGTTTATGGCTGGAAAATGGAAACAGAATTTCCATTCTATACTAAATCCAGCCAGAGAATGCTATTCCAAAAAAAAAAAAAAAAAGACCTTGGAAAGGTCTGAAATCTTAGACCCTGGCTCATCAAGCTAATCCACACTGCAGGCTGAGGAGGCCTTGCTTCTGAAGAGGAAATTTTTTTTCTGAAAATAATTCAATGATTCTTTTAAGAAACAAGAGATACAAAGTTTGGAGAGTCCTTCTTTTACACCTCACAATCAGCAAATAACTTCCGGCATGGGTTAGTTTGATCCCAGATTGCATATATACATCTGGTGATTTGGGCATTTTGGAGATCATGGCTCTATTCTACAACTTGGTGACTAATCAACAACTCCTTCCTGTGCATAATTTGTCTCAGGAGACCCACACCTCAAATCTCAGACATCAGATCTCAGAATTTATCCAGGGCTCTGAGGTGAAAATATTTTTTGAAAATAATTGTGTTTCAATACCTTTTACGTCTCAGTTTTGAAAGTTGATGTCATCTTCACTATAGGGTTTTTTTTAAATGATTTATGGTGGACAAGTAAAATTTCTCATCTCCCCAAATCTATCAATATATTTACAAAAGGAAAGCTTCGGGGTTTCAATAAAACACTATGCAATGAAGCCATTAAGAAAGGAACTTGAATACATATTTTTTTTTCCTACATACATAAGCATCTGTTCCAACTTCTGCCTCCTAAAACTGTTACTTATTTTGTTTCAGCTTTAACCCTTAAAAATAGTTAAAGAATGATCTGGCCTGGAATGTTCATTACTTCAACAGCAGGAGTCAAGTTAATCTGCTTCACGCCCCATGTTAGACTTACTTTGCTCAGTGCTTAAGATATTTTAAAAAAGGTCTCTTGGAGGGAACAATGTTGGTCTAGAACTTGGGGTTAGCCCGAGAATGAGTTAGCCACATTTTTTCTGAATCGAGAGGCAGCTCTACTCTAGAGTGACCTTGGGAAAGTAATTTTTTTCATCCTGGGATGCAGATATACACGATAGAGGGCAGCTGCACTTGTTATAAATATCTTGTAGGGTAGGCTAAATGCTGCACTGTAACTCCCCAAGCCAGAAAGCTGGGAAAGAGAGGGCTTAGGTGACCTTTTGAGAATATGCTGTTCACCCCAAGGAGCCGCAAGTAATTAAAACAGAGAGTTAGCACTTCTCACAGGAGGGATCGATTGACTCTGAATAGCCCAGAGCTCTTTATCACTTGTATTGGTACTCTCACTCTGGACCAGGGAGGAGTGGAACATGGGAGACCCAGGGAGGGCAGCTTGAACAAGGAACAGTAATCTGAGAAGAAGAAACAAAAACGGAGTGAGGAATGAAGGGAGGAAAGACAGAGAGCAGGCTTCAGGAGGCCCTCTTGCACTTCCTGGCACTCCTGGGCTCCAAGCCTCAGAGGGCAGGTGGCTATTTCAGTCCATTCCCATTATAGAAGCGGATCCCAATGTTGCCCCGACAAGGCTGCACAAACTGGAACTGACAGCCACTCTTCATGTCATTTTCTTTCTCGCCAACCTGCACTGACTCCCACACTTCATTTTGCTTTTAAGGACAAAATGGTGTTCAGGTGCCCCTTTATTGTCTCTGCATGAGCTCCAACTTCTCTTCCCAGCAATCCCCACACCCACACCCCTTTTCCTTACTCTGTTGCTTACTCTCTTTCCTTCCTCTCCTCTTTTGCATAGACCCCAAGCATCTCCGTCCTGTTAGGCCAAGATAGAATTGATCTCCTAACAACGACTTTTATTGCATAAATCTTTACACTCAACATTGAAACATGTACCATCACACCCAAGTAGTTGCATCCTGAGATAGTTCTTGGGTCTTGGCCCACATCCATCTCTCCCATGTTCTGTCTCCCGCAGCATTTGTTCACTGACCCAGCTCTACAGAATCAACCTCTGGGGATGGAAGGCTGTAGCAGTCTACACTGTCAGGAAGCTCCCCTGAAGAAACTGGAATTAGAGGGACCTAAGGAGGCAGAATTTTGGCTATGAATATTTACTTTATCGTTCTCCATGATGTTTATACATTTTTATTTTACCATGATCATGTACAACTTTTACAAGAACAATGAGTGTGTGCGAGGCATGTATATTTTTTTAAGTTTCCAGATGATTTTGTTAGTATGGGAACTGTAAGTCCATATCAACCATTTGAGCAAGGATTCAGACACATGCCTTCTTTCATTTCTTAGGTCTCCAACAAGGTTGAAAGGTACTTCAAGAGCAAGAACTAGCCCTGTACCTTTCCTATCTCTCCAGTGCTAAAAGTGCCAGGCTCAAAGCAAGTGCTTAGTAAACACTTGAATGGATTTAAATCGACTCAATAAAATAGAAGAAATTGAATAGGAACACATGTGACATGGTACATTTGAATAAAAAAGAAAACGTTTTAATTAGTGGGTTAAAGAAATATGTATTAGCAAAACAGAAAAAATATTCAGGTGACATAACAGACCATAGGATGGCTGCAGATAAGCATTAGTGTTTTGCTTTAGATCTGAAAGCAAAGGATCTTCGGAGGCATCAGTGAACTAGCAGCATGTAGATACCACGAGGTGGTTCTCTCTTTTTAATCAGACTCATTCTTGAAACGGTGTGTTCCATTATAAAGTGTATAGCTAAAGAAGAAATTTGAGTAGTTGGAGAGAGTTAAGAAAAGAATCAAAAGCCCCATACATTGCTGGCAGGAATGTAAAATGATGCAGCCACTTTGGGAAACAGTCTCAGATTCTTCAAAAAGTTAAACATAGAGTTTGAATAGAACCCAGCAAATCCACTTCTAGGAATATACTCAAGAGAATTGAAAGCATAGGCTTGAAGGAAAGACTTGTACACAAATGTTCATAGCAGCACTCCTCATACTAGCTACTGGATAACTATGACAACCAATGGACCAACAAAACATAGTACAGCCAAACAGTGGAATATTAGTTGGCCATGCAAAGGAGGGATACAACATGGATGAGCCAACTTTGAAAACATGCTAAGTGAAAAAAGCCATATACAGAAGCTCACGTATCCAATAATGCCATTTATATAAAATGTCCAGAGGGACACCTGGGGGGCTCAGTGGTTGAGTGTCTGCCTTTGGCTCAGGCCAAGATCCTGGGTGCTGGGATCAAGTCCCACATCAGGTTCCCAGTGGGGAGCCTGCTTCTCCCTCTGCCTGTGTCTCTGCCTCTCTCTGTGTCTCTCATGAATAAATAAATAAAAACTTTAAAAAAAGAAATGTCCAGAACTGGCAACCACAGAGAGACAGAAAGTGGATTTGAGATTGCCAGGGGCTATGAGTAAAGGAATGAGACTTCACTACTGGTATAGAATTCCAAAATTAGTGTCAGTGGTCACACAATTCTAGAAAGGTACTAAAAGCTGCTGAATTGTACACTTTCAAAGTGTAAAGTTTATGGTATATGAATTATATTTCAATAAAGCTATTATTTTTTAAATTAAAAAAAACATCATGAGGCACCTGGCTTGCTCGTTTGGAAGAGTGTGTGACTCTTGATCTTGGGATTGTGAGTTTGAGTCCCACATTGGATGTAGAGATCAATTTTAAAAATTTTAAAAAGAAAGTCATGGGGGAACATGAGGAGGGGAGAAATCTGGACAGCAGGCCCTACAAAGAATGTTAAAGAAAAATAGGGAAGACAAGAAAGCAGTTTTACTAAGGGCTGCTTTTTCAGGCATAGTTGGCTTTTTTAACTTTTTTAATTAATAAAAAAAATAGGATGGCTAGCTGAGGAGAAAATTAGAAGATGCAGATTATAAGTACAGCCTCAGGGGTTTAGTTGAGACACAAGGTTTTCCTACCAAGAGAAGTGGGAATAAGAGGTTTTCACATCTCTCTTTTTGGTGGTCTTAAACAGGCCTTCGAATAGGTCGTATGTGCACAGGACGATGTGTGGGAGTCCTTTCTGAAATGGGAGACGGATGAACTCAATGACCTTGCAGCCTTTCCTGTCTCTCAGAACAGTGCTCATCCTCTGAGCTTCTTGTCACATGCTGCCACCAGTGCATTTGTCTCAGTGATATAGGAGAGGAGACAGTATCATTTCTTGAAGAGTTTTATTTGGCTTCTCTCTTCAGCCCCAAACATACATTCCTCTTAAGACTGTGAAAGTCTTCTATTCGTTTTATTTTATTTTATTTTATTTTTTTAATTTAAATTCAATTTGCCAGCATATAGTATAGTCTTCTCTTCTAAACAATTAACTTTTTCTTTAAAAAAAAATCTCATAGCTACACTCACAACTCATTCTTTCAATCATTTATGTAAAGAAAGTAAATTCAAGTTATGTATAGCTACGTCTACACTGCTTATTAATATGAATACCTAGAATGTACTTGGCCTGGTGGAGAGTTTTCAAAGCTCCATAAGCCTGTGAATTCAGTTTTACTTGAGAAATAAAATGAGGTCATCCTAACTCATCCTTTCCAGAGAGGGGACCGTTTCTGCTAAGCACACCCTAATGCTTTGATTCCCAGTGCTCCTCTGGGTTCACTCAGCCTCTCAGAGTGAGTCTCTGCCCAGGACCTGGAATCCCATGCAAATAAAACCAACTGAGGGACACGCTGAGAACAAGGAAGCCTCTTCATGGCCCTGTGACCAGATTTGTTTCAGATCCTTTCCATTCTCCACTCTCTGGCTGGGTGGGAGAGCACTTCATTTTATGGCAAAGTTTGTCTCATTGCCAATGTTCTTTGCTTTCACCACCGCACACCTTTGCAATATTCATTCAGGAGTAAACAGAGAAATTCAAGACTTCCTATTTCAGGAGACCGTTAGAAACCTTCATCTCCAATATCCTTCAAATGTTTTTAACCTAATGGCATGTTTAATAAATGAGGGATTGTAGGCCTAGGACCGGGTGCTGTTAAAACTTGGTGCTAAGAACATTGACTAAAGAGGATTCCTCGCCAAGACATGATCCACTTCACCCCTTCAGGAGGGGGTCCTGCTCCCCCTCTGCTAGGCAAGGGCATGGTCAAACTGCCCCTTCTCCAGGCCTTCAAGTCCATCCGCCCAGGTTGAGGTCGGCATGCTCCGATACGGGTCCAGAAGGATCCGGAAGCACCTGACAATGAGGATGCCCAAGAAAATGAACAACAAAATCACAAAGACAAATGTGGTTTTCTGCTCCAGAGACATGCTAGAATCTGGTGATGCATTCTCAAGGGGCACTAGGGCTGAAGGGACGGGCTGTCCTCCATCCATCGTCCAGAGAAGCAGGAGCTCGGGATCTCCCAGTTTCCTTTTCTTCCATCATCAGTCTGCTGAGATCATGGTGGCTGCACCGTGGAGCCACTGAGTGATCTGCAGGAAGAAAGAAAGAGAAGGAGACAGGATAACTACCAAGGAGCAGTTTATTTCTACGCTCACAGTCCTATTTGTCAGAGAAAACAAGGAATCTCCAAGCTTTTTCCCAGACGTGCTCAGTTCTGTGCAATTATGGGGAAGAATCTTTTACTCTTGCATGAAATTACCAGATTGTCCTCAGAGCAGCCACCTGGGGCCAGGAGGGATGGGCAGGGAAGACAAACAGAGTACAGAAGATGAGAAATGTGCTAGGTAGTGTTGACCTCAGGGTGTGCTGCCAACTTGACATCCGAGCCCAGTGTCCCCTGCCAGGTCTCTTCTAGATTCCCTCCAATCACATGACTTTCACATCATCCTTATAATGATACCACTGATGGAACACCAGCCATGTGCCAACGCTGTAGCTAAACACAACATAGGTTAGCCACTCTACTACAAGCTCTGTGAGAGCAGAGACCACTATAGCTTCAGTGGAAGGAAATTAAGGCTGGAAAAGGTGCTTAATAGGGAACTCTCATGGCGTATCGGGCTCTGGGCCTCAGCCTCTGGCCTTCATTTTACTGCTAAATGAGTATGGGCCCTTGGAGAGGTCACTAAGCTATAAAAATGGAATCATCAATGCCTGTGTATCTCATGGTGCCATTATGAGAATGAATGTCTGCAAAAACACAAAAACAAGGAAAATTAAGAGTTGCTTCACTTCAGACATGACTATAGAAGCCAGAATGCTTCTCTTTCTCTTTCTCTTGCCTGAGCCAAGGGAGAAATGAGGCATCTCAGACTCCCAGACTACCAAGCTCCTGCTGCTTTTCTTTTTTCTTCAGCCAACAAAGACCAGGTTCAATACTTGACCCCGAGAACTCAGCTAGCTCAGTTAGGGAGAAGGAATTGATTGGCTGTATTATTTTTAAAAGCTTTACAGTGGCCTCCTACTATTAAAGACCATTTGATAAAGAGGAAGAGAAGGAAGAAGATAAGTTATCACTATAGCCATTTTACTGGGAGAAAAATTAAGATATGTGGATATGACTGTCTTTAAAGGTGAGTTGGAGCATACACAAAAGGCCATAAAAGACAGAGAACTAAATCTATGTATGAGTCTGTTTATATGAAAAATTGTGTAGCAAAGTAGCATGGAAATTAACAGTGATTCAAAACAAAGGATATTCAATGAAAATAGCAACCAAATAAAAATAGAAATTATGACTTAAAGCTAGAAAACAATATTTCTACATTTAACTTGTTGCCTTGAAGTACAGCATTAGTGATCATAATAACAGCTCATATGTATGTTGACACTTCAAAGTTTATAAAATCACAATTTAAGACACAGTTTACAAAAGGATTTACAACCAGTGTCTACAAGAAAGGAGTTACAAGTTTGGGGAGAAAGATATTTTGCAGCTCTGTGACTAAATTTTAAGGCTGGAATAGCTGCAGTAGATTTGTTTATCATTCATTTTTATTTTGAAGCAAGATTGGGATAAAATTTGATGGTATTTCTTTAAAAATCAGCCCCTGAGGGATATAAAGGATGTTGATGGATTGGGTCTGGTTTGATTTGCTTATTTTCAAGCACCCTCCCATCCTTGGGTGTTAACTCTCAGCAGAAAACTGGGCTGAGTAGAGGGGGCTGCAAAGGGTGGCCAGGGCTTCCAATGCAGCAATCCTTAGTGCTTGCTTCCAGAAAGGGCCCCAAGAAATATCCAAACTAGACTTATTCATAGCAGGTATAAAATTCACTAAGGGCTGGGTCACAAGAAAGTCGAGTGCTGCTAGAGGTATAAATGCCTAAGCCATCCATCCATGTCCTCCCAAGGATGCCCATCACTGTGACCCTGCCCTCCCCACGGACTTACTAGAATCCCACTCTATGTCCATTTTTCCTCCAGGCCAAATGAGGCCAGAGCTCTTTTCTTTGTCTGTTCTTAACACAGCTGAGATAGCGATACATTTTCAGGAAGTTCTATACAAAAACATTATGTAACCCAGAAAGGAAATATAGGAAAATTGAAGACCATTAACTGTGTACAAGTACCACATAAAGATTTCTGGATCTGTGAAGTTCATTGAAAACAGGAGAATTGAGCCTGTGCCGACTCCCTGGCCATAGGCTGGGTGGCCAAAATAGCAATACCTTGTTCTGTCCTTCCCTTCGCACCCTCGTGTCCACTTGATAAGAGCCATCTTGATGCCCAAGAGCAGTCTACCCCAGGCTTGTCGTTCATACAAGGAAAAATGCCAGCTTCTTTTCTCCTAGCTCATCATCTCATACTTCCTAGGCTTCTCCATAACTCAGGTTTTTAAGCTGATCCACCATCCATGTGGGGGCTGCAGGGATAGGCGACCATTCCAAGAAGCCCCAGCAAGTAACCCAGTCATCCTGATTCAGGTTATCAGCCACATTTCCCTCTTCTGTCTTCCTGTAAATGAGTCTGGAGCCTGGCTTCTTTGCAGGGAAGCCAACCCTTAGAATGATTTAAAAATCAGTTTTAATTTAGTTTTTTAATTAACCCTATTCTGATTAAAAGGCAGATGCAAGAATATGGTTAAGCCTCTCTACAGCTTCCTCACATGTTTTTGAGAAGCCTGGTAAAATATAAACACATATCCTCCAACCCTCTGTCACCCACCCCTTCCTGATAAACCAAACTGACGAGAAAACGGAGATGAAAGCCTTTTGAAAACACCACAGCTCTTTATAAATTGTCAGCCTCCTCTCCTGTCCCAGCTATACTGTGATAACCAAGTTCCCGTTAAAATAATTTCATTTGGCCAAATCTTCAAAGCCCCTTAGTATATTGCAGTATTTCACCAATGAGAGTGACACATTAACACGCTAGCAGGGATTTGTCTAGGAAAACTGCTCTTAACTTCAAGGAGGGGAAATGTGGTAGATAGTAAGGAGACCGGTGAGTCTTGCTGGAAATGAAGGGCCACTGGGGTTTGGGAGGAGCAGATGTGGGGTGCTGAGGACAGATGGCCCAAGAGGAAAGTCTTGGGGAGGTTGAGGGATGGTGGGTACAGATGAGAAAACCCAGAGATGGTTATAAAGGGACATGGGGATACGGAGACCCAGGAAGTAAAGCCAGTTCTTTCACAGCTTTGCCTGGGACTGATTGAAATCCCTGGAAGAGCCTGCTTGATTTTAAACCCGCAATCAACTAATCAATAATTTACAAATTTGGAAAGCTCAACAGCACATTGAAGTTAAAGGCAACATTGCATAGAGTAAGATGCAGAACAAGAAATAAATGTTTGACTATCACAGTCCCAAAATATGCAAAGACATCAACATTTTTAAAAATATCTGCCTCAGAGTGAAGTGTCCCTTTTTGGCAAAAATGATCCTTGTAAAATATTCAGACTGCTTTTACCTGAATAATGAAATCTGCCTTTCAGACAAAGAGAGAAATCTGGGCAAGTAAATTATTTCAAAGAATTCCGATGCAACTACCTAAGTGTTAACAATAACAAAAGGCGGTTATTTTCAGTACAAGAAGGCCACAGTTACTCATGACCATATTTTAATCCTAACTGGCTTGCCCTTCACACAGCACATTCATGTCTTCCCTTCGCACGTCCATTTGTATGTGCTCTGGACACAATAAAGTCTAATTTCAATACTGGACCACCAAGGAAAATGTAATGAAAAGATTCCATCTCAAAAATTGTGTCACACATCCCCTGTCTTAAGTCAAGTTCCCCGGACTAGGTGATAGTCACAAAGTATAAAACCCTCTGTGTTACCTACAAAGCCCCATGTGAGCAGTTCTTCTTAGCCATAGTCATTATCACTAGCAGCCACTCACCTTCCTTAGAATAATCTGCCAAAGACCTCTCTTCCCTCCCCATACTTCCTACAATACTGCGCCAAGATCCATCTTTCTCAGCTCAAATCTTACCCCTTCTTCCCTCAAGAAAACCTTTGCTTTCCAACGACCCAAGACCCCAACTGCCCATTGACTCCCCCTACAAACCTGATACCCCTGTTCTCTGGATGACAAATCAGGTCATATTCCGGCACTGGAATTCTTGTAAGTTCTTCATTTATTTTCATAGTAAGGTGAAACAGGAGCAAACATCAAATTGCATTTGGTTTGTGGTAAAATGGCCCAAGAAGAACAAACTTACATGTGATCAAGTCTTCAGACACCTGAGGAGACCGTCCTCACTGGGTCTGCTCTGCAGCTCCATCTAACGCCAGCTGTTCTTTGAACTCCTCCAGGCTTGTTTCCCACCTCTGAGCATTTAATCATGATGCTCCCTGCCTAATGCCCTCCTCCTCACTCTATTCCCGCCTGTGGATTTTGCTCCCTCCCTCGGAGTTCACACCAAATCCCACCTCCTTGGCGGGGCCTTCATCTGTCCCTGCGCCAGAGGCACAGGGTGCTTCTTGCTCTGCCCTCGGGAGCACCGCACCTGCATTCTGCAGCACCACCTCGTACAGGATGAGTCCCCAGGATGTTCAACTCTGTCCCCATACTAAATGGCAAGCTCCTTGGGGGAATTATCTGCTGCTCTGGGGTTACTGCCTTTTTAAATAGAGGTTGAATCAAATCTTTGGCCCCCTACAATCCAAGGAACTGAATTCAAATTTTGAGGTGCCTGCTGATACAAAGCAGGAGTAAAAAGCACATGTCATCCAGCCAGCCAGGGATGTCAGGCCATTGTGTTTGAAATAGATCTTATTTCAAAGAATCAGAGATAGTCTGAGTCACAATGACACTTTAATAGTTTCCGATTTCATGATTCGCAAAGCAGTTATTGGGATTTTTCACATTTTCCTTGGCTTCAATGCTGATGGGTCGGGTCCCATCAAATACAAAAATTAGCTGCCACCCTTCTATTCCAGGGCTCAAGGCTTTCTTAGCTGACCTGCATGGCTGGTGGGGAAGATCAGCTCTTTAAAATATCCTGAAGCCTTACATCTTACCTGGACACTACAGATGCCAACATGTACCCTTTGCAAGCTGGGATCCTTTGGGCATTTCATTTTGTTAACATCGTATTATATAATTTCACAGGAAGGAAAATTACTTTATATGAAGCAAATATACCTGAAAGCAATGATACATTTCTTTTCTCATCTTTAAAGTGACAGCAACAGAATTAGTTGGGTGCATCTGGCACCTTGCTCTGTGCAGCTGCCCATAGGCATATAATCCCACCCTCTCACTTTTGTGGCCATCACTTCACCTACCCAACCCCCTTCTGCATTGGGTTGCAATGGTCATAGTGATAGCAGATGCAGCACAAGAGTAGTCCTGCCTAGCACACAGTGAGCATTCAATAAATATATGATGATGAATGAGTGTTTCCTCTTTATACCATTTTTTGCACAAAATGATGTTTCTAATTTCTTTCTAACAAGCACACCAGGGAATGGAGATTATAAGTAAATTGCCCCCAAATCAAAAAAATCAGGTACCAGAAGAGAAGTATTCCCCTAAGGATGCTGACTCGCATGTTTCTCTCAGGGCACGAAGGAATGAGTAGAAAAGTCAGTCATCCTGTGGCTGCTAATGGTGTGCAGGGTGCAGTGAAGCAATGCTGTCTGTATTTTAAGTACCTCTAAGCCACAGAAGTGCCACACCTCATTTTTAAAACTTCTAGGCCAGAAACCTAGTTATGAGACTTGACATGTTTTTAAAAGTAAATGCAAGAACAGTGAGTCTACTGAGCAAGAACACTCAGGGTTTGTACAATCACATGGGACGGACAGGACACTTTGTCCTACAAAGACATCCTGTGTATCTTATTTATATTTATCTGGCAGACCAGTGAGACCACTCTGTAGACTGTACTGGGAAGGGAACTGGCTAGGTAGGCAGGACTGAATTTGTAATGACTAGCAGAGACAAAGTTCCTTCAAGCACTGCATTATTCTTCAACAGTTCCAAAACTGTTGAAATGTTAACATGCCTTTCAATGATTAACGTAATACATATCCTGAGAGTGATGCTAAATAGAATCATCTCTATTTTTGAGCTAAACAAAGCTTCAGCTGCATTGCTGTTTTCAAAACTGGAGTCTCTGGAGATATACTCCACCCTCCATCCCAACCCTCACACCCCAGACGTGTAAACACCCCCAGGGACCCTATTATATATCTTCCCCTATAACCGTGAGCCTTCCTCAAAAGCCACCTCATCATCTAAGTAATCAGATCACTATATAAACAAAAGTTATTACCTATGAATCTTGCGGAAATGCTGTGTATGAGCCCAGTGAACAGTAATTTGCATTCCAGGATATACACACCAAGATATAAAATCTTTCCTATAAATTCAAAGAATTCTTGGCCCTCTTGGTGACCAGCCCAGAAATTCAGAATTCAGTTAAAAATTTTCTGGTTCTTTCTAGGCACTTCAAGTATTTTAACCAACATATACCTCCTTTTTTTCTCTCACATAAACACATGGCAACTTCCATATTTTTTTTTCTGAATACAGACCTCTTGATCCGATACAATAGCCCTGATGCTTCAGAATTCACAGGATGGCAGAAGATAGATATTACTTTATACACTCAACCAATAGACCCAGGGCTACTCAAAAGCCCTAAAACAATGGCTTGGAATCCATGTGAATGCGGTCAGCTACGAATGTCAACAGGCAGTTCTGGAATGGTTGCCAGCCCCCAGTGCTGTCCTGGGAGGTCTGCTCCATCTGTCACTGCAAAGTCAGCCTGCAGATGTCTGCTTGGGTTTGGGAGTGGATCCTGTTGTTCCTGGCCTGCCAGCTCTGGGTCAGCAGGAGACCCTCCTCTTCAGCCTGAGCCCTAACCTCAGCTTCACTTCTTCCCTGCCTTCATCTTCCTCCTGACCTCTGCTAGAAGAGTTTTAAAGGGACTGCAGAGCAAGGCTGCAGCCTAGCTGGGAACATCGGAAAAATCCCGTGTGAGTGCCCTGTCGGTAACTGGGGTACCAAAAGCCACTATAGGCAAACCGGAAGTTTCGCTGCAAATGATAAACCTTACTGTCATACCCGAGTTTGCTTTCTCTTTCCTTGTGTGTGTTTCCTAGTGAAAGAGAGTGCTTGCTGATATCTCAAAAGGCTAGGGCTGCACCGCGCTTACCACCCAGGGACACCAGGGATGGTCAGCGTTATCATTATGAGTTGTTAAGTTGTGATCCTTTGTGAACAAAGTAAAACATCCCTTTCAGAAGGCTGGATGTTGTAGGCGAATGGAAAAATTACTATAATGGGCAAATAGCTTTCCAGACTAATTTACTGCAGCTTAGCAAAAAAAAAAAAAAAAAAAGCCTGTTTTACTACTCCCTATCCAGCATCGGTAGCACTGTGAACTTAAGCATGCTTTAAAAATAAAGGCATCATTCCATTTCACCCCTTCATATTAGCTTGACCTAGCAACTATTTAATTAGACTTCATCTGACATCTAGATCTAAATTCAGAACTTGGATGGAAAAGGCATCTATGAGATTATTGCTCATGCATAAATCGTAAAGTTAGAGAAAAGCATTAATTAGCTCATCAAAGACACAGTGTTGGTCAAGTACCTGGATCTGGCTGAGCAAACACTTGATCCATTTCCTGGTGGAACTGTTACAGGTAGTTACAAGCCTCTTTAGTTTCCATTCTTCCCGACCAAGCTGTGTTGAAGCAGTAGACAGTGGTAGCTGCAAGCAGCTGATGGCACACCCCAGCTCGAAAGCTGTTGTTTCAGGCTTAGAAACTTCCCATTAAAACCCCCGAGTTAAAGGAGCATCGTCTTTCTGCGTGAGGGCATCATGAGCGGCCAATACGGCTGCTTCTTTGTGGCGAGCCATGATTTCAGTTCTGCCTCAGCAACTCTTCAGAGGATTCTGCTTCAGTGAGTAGAGGCAGTATCCTAGCAGTGTGTCTGAAATCATCTTCAAGAAAGCATTAACATTCAAAAGGAGTACGGGGGAAAACATCGCAGGGCATTCCCATACCTTTTCAAAATCAAAGCCATAAATCTACCAATGCTCTGTTCTTCCCTATTGATTGTTGACACTATTGCTCTTTGGGGATGTCAATTAGCACCTTGCAGCAACCAGCCCCCATATTGATTATGGCTTCTGACCTTCGGGCCAACTTAATTAAGGGGAAGCCTTCTAAGGAAGGGTATCAACATAGTATTTGGAAAACCAAGGAAAGGCTCCTTTTCCTAAAGAAAACAGAATTGACCTTTCAGCAAAGCAGTAATTACGGGAGGCGAAAAGGAAAGAACAATTTAAAAAAATCATATTTTTACCACCTGTTTGTAAATTTGCTAGGCCGCAGGTAGGTTGCCAGGTCCAGTGTATCCTTTGGCCAGCCTGCACGATCATGACCTTGGCAGGGACCCCACCCCACGCAGGCTGCCAGAGACCACTGATTGAATAATGACAGACCTTTGGTGAGAGAAAGTTGTTATAATTCTATGGATTCTAGTTACATGGCACAATCCTTAAATTATTTTCCTTGGATAGAATGCCTAAATAAATTTGGAAAATGTTTAAGTATAAAATTCATCTTTTTTTTTTTTTAAGTACTTCTCTGGAAAGAATTCAACACAATCCTTAAGATGGAACATCCTTGTTTTTTGGCAACTCACCACTTTCTTTGTTGAAGTGGAAGCACAGTTAGCAACAACACCCACCCACCAAATGATGGGGTGCATGATATTTAAAGCTCACTCTGACGGTGCCTGTCAGCTTTGCTGTCTCTTCGGCTCTTGCGAGAAGCCGGCCATTACCCAGTAGCTGTAGGGGACTGGAACAGAGCTCATTGTCTAGGAGGCAAATCTCCATCTGCTGGCAGCAGACAACAACCCTGGATAGACCTCAGACCCAAGATAATGTAAATGCCGAATGCCATGATCTAATGTCGCAATCAAATGCTTGACATTAGGAGCTAAACTCACTGCAGGTCCTTTCCCTCTGGCATTCCAGATTTTTAACTGAATTTCCTTTCTGATGAGTTTACCTGACTGTATTTACACACACATACACACACACACACACACACACACACACACACAACAATGAGACATATGAAATCCAACAGAACACTGTCAATACTAACTGGTCTCCTTTGTGCTCTTCAGCCGACAGCGCTGGTGGATGAGTGACCTGTCTCAGTAATGCCAACAGAGTGTGGTTCAGGGAACATTCTGGCCCCACCCATACTTATATACTTATCATTCCATGGGGTGAGAAAGCACTCTACTTAGAAATAAGCCTGAGTTACTAGGAGCTCACCCTGCCCGGGAGGCCTCCTCAGATATTGTTTTACCCTATTGACTCGTAGAGGTGGAAGGGAACACGAGAGGCCATGGCTGCCCTGCAGCTCCTCTGCAGCCTGAAACCACCCCAGAGAGACAAGTGCCTGGCCTATTTTTAAAACTCTCCAGAGAATTAGATTCCATACCCCATTCTGACAACCTCTGTTCCAACTAACTCCTCCATGGCTTACTTGGCCTCAATGGGATGGCATATTTCTTCTCATTCTATCCTGGCTGCAAAAAAAATCAGTCATTAACCACTGCACAATTTTGTGAGTGTGCTCTTCCCCTGACGAAGCTGAACTAGGTAAACCAAAGGACATTCGGTGAAGATCCTGCAGCCAAGTTTGGATATTCTTTTGTAAGATCATTGCCGTTGAAATGATGGGAGTGAGCCCTTCCCCATGAAGCCATATTATGTGACTCATCCTGAATTTTGAAACAATGAATAAGGATTGATGAAAAGTCGAGTTCCTTGAACATTTCATAGTAGGTCCTGTTTCTTTAGACTTCAATGCTCTCTTTATCTTCCCTCTAAGTTCTTCCCCAAATGTCCACTTTCTGGTCCAGTTTTAAATCAGGAATCTAGAATGCTACACAGACCTGTACAAAGCTCAGACTAACATGGATTTGTGGAGAATAGGATGATTTCATGCTATGCTTCTCTAACACATTCTGATCCCAAGGTTACTCTTGGGTGTTAATTCAGCACCTTCTTTTTAACCACACAACATCCGGAGTCAATATTATCAGAAATCTATTTTAAGAACTTTTTCTACATTCTAACTGTGGGTCTCACCTTGAATATTATTTAGATTATGATTCTTCCCTTAATGTCCCATGCTGCACTTTTTCATAAAGTAATGGACAATGAATAAAAAAATAAAAACAAAAAAACTGCTTCACGAACCATCAAGCTTTATGCCAACACAAAGCTGTTATAATTAGCATCACCATGGTTGTGTTTCTAATTCTCAAAATTGAATTGATTCTTGATATAATCTTCAAAATTGAAACATGATTTTCTTTTCCCATTCATTAGTAGAATCCTTGTAAAAATCTATTTTCTTCCTTTATGTACATTTTTCTTTCATGTAGTCAAGAAACATTCTCTAAATTTATTTACTCAGCATCAGATATGTTCTGTGTTGGGTGGGGAATGAATGAAAACTATGGAGAAGTCAGTGCCTGAGTTTGTTCAGGTTGTCACTGCACAATTCTGGGAGGTTCTCTGGTACAGACCCGGAGATGCTCCACATGGAGCAACAATAGCCAAGCTTCTGGGCAGATTAGCCCACCTCCACTGCTTCCCACTTCCTCACCTCCCCTTCACTGCTTAGCCAGCAAACATCAGAATTATGTTCTCATATCTCTATAGGGCTTGATTTCACAAGGCCATCTGTGGTTTCTCACCATCACAAGCAAAAAAAACAAAACAAAACAAAAAACAAAAACTTGCAGCATTGATCTTCCTTGCTGTTTGTGGCAACACTGGACATAGCTGACCACTCTCTTTAGGAAAGTGCTGGATAATAGGACACACAGAGGAAAGGGGAATGGCAAAACCCATCTCTCAGCCCTCTTCCCTCTTGATCCCCTCCTCTCCCTTGGTGCCCCCCTTGGTTCCACTCTCTCAACTATCTCTCATTTGCCCTTAGAGGCTAACGTCAAGTTTAACTCATGTAACCACCAGTGAATATGAAATTAAGGATGGAAAAACAGGCAGGCTAGGATTCATGTTAATAGGTTCACCACTTTTAATTCATAAAAAAGAATTGAAAGTCAGTTTATGTGTTATTTTTCTCTCTTCTTAGTTTTTTTAAAAAATCAATACAACATGTAATAATAAAGTTGCTTTTTTTTTTAATCAAGATGAGCTCTATTTATAATATCCCTCTGATGTGCCCAGTCTAAATGTAAGTTTATTTATCCACTCAGCTATCTTCACAGGTCAGTGAACATTCAAAGCGCAAGGGAGCAGTAGGGAAAGTTTAATAATATTCACACCCAGCCTATAAATTAGGACCTATATTCAAGCATTATTAAAAGCAAGCAGGTTAAAGTCCAACTGCAAATTGGCAGCCTCCTGGTTTGAATTTTCTTTTTTCTTGAACACGTTTCTGAGCACATCACATCTGTGGTATGTTGAATGCTCAATTAGTAGCTGATGAATCTGGAACAAAGTAGTATTCGAAATGAAATGAGAAACAAACTACTTCAACTCCCTGGAAATGTATTTGGAAAGAAGACAACACTGATAGAATGTAATATTACAGCTTGCCCTGTAAAATGAACAAGTTTGTTCATTTTTTCCTTTATAAGTCAAAATTAATAAAGCATCAAGGAAGGAAATGCATCATGAAAAACCCTGTTCTATTTAGAGATAGTATTCGCAAATTTTAAGATATTAATTCTAGTTACAGCATGAAAGTATTAGAACATTACTATGGGTTATTCACTGTTCAAAAGAAATTCATACTGAGGAGTTAACAGCCTGGTGGGTAAATTTATTCTTTTTATATGCCTTGTACAATAATAACAATTTTCTTAATGACTTTGAAATACTTAATGCCTTTAAAGTGTCATATAAAGTGCCAATTAGAGTTTTATACAAACCATCCCTCTCAATTTTTATGCTCTCATTTTGGCACTATTCTTTCTGTTCAACAGCTGCACTGCAGAAGGGACCTCTACTTCCTGGACACTTTGAGGGCTGAGCAGATTAAAATATTAAGATGATTTAGAAAATTAAATAGAATAGGCCTGAGAATTACTGACCTGTTAGCCTGACTTTCCATACCTGATGAAATTCTAGAACTAAAAATCTCACCACTGAAAATCAATTTGAAAACATCCAGAGGTGGAAACTAATCATACAAAGACATTTTTAAAATGCTGGTTAAAAAAACTTATGAAAAACCAATCTCAACTGCTGATATTTCAACCTGTGGAAATGATGGAAAGGAGGTTGAAGAATGAAGAAATAATCATAAACACAAGTTATGATCTATAGTTGCTGGGTGCGAATTTCAGCTGCCTCATTGCTACATCTTTCAAATGATATAATCGATTGCTGCTTGAAAAATCATTTAACTTTACAAATATTCCAATATTCTAGTGGGATCAATCAAAAGTTTCAGTCACATAGTATATTATTTTAAAAGGCAGACTTTAGAGGCAACTGGGTGGCTCAGTGGGTTAAGCATCAGGCTCTTGGTTTTGGCTCAGGTCATGATCTCAGGGTCATGAGATCGAGCCCCACTTCCAGCTCCAGAGTCAGTGGGGAGTCTGCTTGAGATTCTCTCTCTCTCTCCCTCTGCCCCTTGCTCTGTCTAAATTAATTAATTAATTATTTTTTTAAAAGGCAGACATTGAGTACATCTTTCTCTTCCAATCCTACATTTCAAGCTTTGACACCAGCCTACCATCTACAGTTTTGTCTTTAAATAATATCTATTACATACTTTTATATAGTGTGTGAATAGTATCTATCAACTATATTTCTATTATATGGGATATTAAATTACTTCATGAGCTTGTTAAGATTTGAGGGGCCCAGGCTCACATTTTTTAATTTAAAAAAAAAAGATT